AATCTTTTTGGGTGAAAGAGAAATATAGCTTTAGTATTATAAACAAACCTACCAAATTCTATTTTGCCAAAGTATTATGACCCCAGTTCTGCATAAAAAATGTTCAGCACCATTTGTAGTACTTTCTTTTCCTGAAATTTACCTCTTTCAACCCATGCTTCTCTGACTGTTTAGGAGAATTAACTCTGATGTCATAAGGCTTAGAAACAAAGGGAAATATAAGCATAATTGCACGATTAAAATTAAGGAAATGTGTACTAGTGGGAACATGTTAGGAATTTTCTTGCCTTTGCAGTCAGATTTTAGAAGCTGGACAGAAATGCTCAGGATTCGAAGACAATAGAAGGACAAATAAGATCTACCAAATGACCTGGAAAGAGAAAAGCGATGGGAGTAATTTTGGGGATAAAGGGAACCACTGCATGCAGACTCTAAGAAAGAAGAGCTGTCAAAAAAACAATCTAGTAGTGACTAAATTGCTACACAATGTTTAAATTAGTATACTTCTGAACGATATTATATTGATGCGTGCATTTCCATTCTGTTTCTTTATTTATGCAGGCTATCTCGCCTACATACTTAAGTAATCATATATTTCTGGTTAAGTTATAAATTTAAAAAATTACCTCTTTCAACTCATACTTCTCTGACTGTTTGGGAGAATTAGTTCTGATCTCATAAGGCTTAGAAACGAAAGGAAATGTTAACCTAATTACAGGATTAAGGAAATGTTTCCCAGTGGGAAAATGTTAGGAAGTTTCTTTGCCTCTGACGTCAAATTTTATAAGCTGAACATAAATTCTGTCTTCGAAGACAATAGAAGGACAAATAAAATATACCAAATCACCTGGAAAGAGAAAAGCCATGAGAGTAATTTCGAAGATAAAGGGAACTACTGCAGATTCTAAGAAAGAAGAGCTGTCAAAAGACAATCTAAGTAGTGATGAAATTGCTACACAATTATGTTAGTATGCTTCTGAATGATATTATATTGATGCGTGCTTTTCTACCCTGTTTCTGTATTTATGTGTGCTATTTCGTCTACATGCTTATGTAGTCCTACATTTTTGGTTAAGTTATAAATTTTAAAAGCAGCATCTTTTTCATTCGTAAATTGATTAAATTACTTGAACACTTTACTTTGTTTAGTTTTAAATTAATTTAGATAAAGTAAAAAGTGAATTGATTTAAAAAAATATACCTTGAGTAACAGCGATGACTAAAATTTTTGAAATTCCTCGTTTCTTGCACATTAGTCAGTCTCTTATTTCAGCCGGAACACTGATTTGGTATTTTTTCGTTTTTGGTTTTAAGCGTATATTCTAAAGAGGCGAACGGGAGATTTTGTCTGATGAGCTACAGAACGTATTAAATTCTTATCTTATAAAAGTGTACGTTACATATATTTCTATCAGCAGATAATCTTGTAGTACCGATGCTTCAGCCTGTTTGAATATGTTTTGTAAATAAGTTCTCAAATTTTTGAAAAATTTTAAATGAATCGTCAAGAAAATCAGAACTTATGAAAGATGTCAGTAGAAATGACACAGATAAAAGTAAGATTAATTTGTCCCATTGTATAGCGATTAGGAGTTTTATAGTAGCAAAGCAACTAATTGCATTGCCTTTTCCCTGATTTGAACTCCAGATCTAACGATTGCTACCCATTGCACTTCTAATTACAACTCGAAGGCACGTGGTAAAGTGTCTATTAAAAACTTTCAGCATATATCTAATCTACATAATGCTGGTGACTGCAAAATGTTTGCAATATATTATTAACCTGAACCTTTGCTTAAATGACTTTAATACGTAGGCTATTCAGAAAGTAACTAACTTTTTAGAATAAAAAAAAGCAAATGAAAGTAAACATTTTTTATTGCTTACATTTGAAAGGCACATTATTCAGCAATTTTTCTACATAACCTCCGTATAAATTAAGACATTTCTCATATGGTACACGAGATTGTTAACTCCATCGTCACAGAATGTTATTGTTAACTCCATCGGCACAGAATGTTGCAGCTTGAGACTTCAACGATGCACGAACGCCTGCATGCAGTTCCTCGTCATCGTCATCGTCGAAGCGCTGTGTTGCAATCCAGGCACACACAAGTGTCTCACGAATGACGAACTGTACCCAAGTCTCGTCTCCTGTTACGACACGATTGAGAAGTGATTCACTGTTCGTGGTACGACTCGAGAAATGTCAAAGTGGCTGCCATGAGCTGCTTTTTGGAACCATTTGGCACAAAACTTGTGATAGCCTAGTTCTTGCAGCACAACACCAAACACCAAAGTTCGTGAAATTTGAGGAAACTCTAGTGAGAGCACCGAAATTGTTAAAGTGGTGGATTTCGTGAATCTTTTCGTCGATTTTCTCTACGAGTTCAGCATTAATAATGCTCGACCGGGCACTTCGAGCTTCCTCGTGAAAATTTGTGCGGCCATTTTTAAACATGATGAACCATTGCCTCACTCCGACTTCACTCATTGCGTAGTTTCCATACAACGGAAAAAGTGCCTGATAATTTCAATTGGTCTCAGTTTTTTTACAAACAAAAATCTAATCATTGATCGCCCTTCACAACTGGCGGAATTTTCATTGTCGCACATATTTTAAACATTCGCAGTGAATAAAGCAGAGGCAATACGTGCCGTCAACAATTACAACCGGATACGTAAGGATTCAGGCAGACAGCAAGAAGGGGATACTAGCACTATCTCTCGCTGCGCAGCAGCGAAACGTAAGTTACTTTGTGAATAGCCTTCTTATTTGTAATTGCTTGATTGCATTCTTAATGAAGTAAAATATATTTCTAAAATATAAAAGTATAAAGCTTTCCTTTTAAAGATTTTCGAGGCCAAAGGTATTGCTTCAATTATATTCTGTCAAGCTTCTGCAAACAATATTTTGAACAGATTTAATAGAGAAAATACTTGCATGGCATACTCGAAGAATAAAATATGCAAACGTAATGTGTTATTAATAATATATCATCAGAGAATTCTTTCAAAGATTTGCATTTGATATTAATATTAAAGCTGTTTCTTATTTATTTGTAATATGATACACTTCTGTTCTCATGAATGTGTAATTTTGAGCAAAAAGTGGAATAGTCAAAATTCAAAGTTCTGGTTTCGTGATTTACCGTCCATTGTTTGCAAGCACAGAAACTCTTGGACTGTTTTACAAGACGAAATATTTTTTTTTTTTTTTTTTTTTTTTTTGCTGTAGTTGCTGTATTCAGCAACTTTCGATAGCTCGATATACGTCTTAATACTACCCTCTCTCTCACGAGACACCTTCGCATTTATTAATTATTGTTAATTGAACTGGGGTTGGTTTGTTCCCCTTGAAAAGTCATCCAATTTCCGATCAATGACGTTAATTACTTAATTTATTGATTAATTTTCATTTTAAAAGTTTCCATTTCTATTTCTCATGATTTAAATTCAAGTTTCTTTAAAAAAAATTATTTTAGGGATTCAGTTTCTGTGCTGCTGGGTTACTTCATTCAGATACAATTCTACTAACTTTATATAAGGGATAATATACTCAATATTCGATTAATAAATAAATTATTATTATATTACTTTGCAGCTATTACGCAAGTATTAGGAAATTTATTTCGATATCAATGAGTTTCAATTAATTAATTCAATCTTATATATATAAGGTAATTATTAGTAACAACTTGCCTAATACTTGCTCTAAAGCGGCGAAGGATACTTTTCCGTTTCGCCGGCGCAAATCTCGCCAGGAAGACTTTATTGGCGACAACATACAGTATACACATAAAAAATATTTAAAAAATGTTAGTTCTAAGAATTCTTTTAAAAAACGAAGGCATAAACATTTAAATATCGCTTAAAATTTTATAAAAAGCCAATAAATAAAGACAATAAATTTGTAAAAAGACATTAATTTAAGAATTTACTATGCTTTCATGGTTCAACATCCTGATTCGCCGGTTCATATCACGTGACCCCAAGCAATCTCATCTCCCGTAAACTACTCTACAAAAATCTAATGCTCTCAGTAATTATCTACATTAATTTCAAGTTAAATCTTAATTTGGAACACAAGTTTATATGCAAGAAATATTTCAATTCTTACGAATAGCTTACTCAGAAATTATGTAAAACTGTAGTGCTTTACTTCGCTAATGCATTCTCATTAGAATGGATGAATTTAACCCTTGACTTTACCTTTTCTATATTTTCGGCTTCAGGTAAGCGCTGTGATTGCATCCTAATTGACTTAATTACCGAAAATGGCCTTAGACATAAAACTGAACCATCTGATAAAAATTCTATGTAATTATATGCCAGTATTGAAAGAAACAATCAATCTGATAAGAAAAAGCTGCGACTTGTTTTGAAAATGAGGCGTAAAAGGTTACCAGCGAGAATATTCCGTTTGGCATCGGTTGTACCATTATTGGCGACTTTATCGCTTGCGCCGGCAAAACGGAAAAGTACCCGGCGAAGTAATAAAATAATAATTTATTTTGAATTTAATTAAATAATAATTTATTTTATTTGATTTTTGAATATATTTTCGCATCTTTTAATTATTGTTAATTGATCGGGGGTTAGTTTATTCCCCTTGAAAAGGACTCTAATTTCCGGTCAATGACATTAATTACTTAGTTTTTCGCTTTTAATTATCCCTTTTCATTAATTCAGTTTTAAATATGCTAGTGAGTAAATGCATTTCAATAGAATTCTAACTACTTTATTTTCAAAGGAGATAGTTTTTTCAGTAATCTACTGTATATATAGTATATTCAGTAATCTACTATATATATATATATATACCTGTATGTGCCTTTTAGCCTGCTGACAATATAAATTTTATGATTTCAGACATGATTAAATATTTAAATCATGTATTTATTTTATCTAGGTCCATTATAATTTTTTAAGTTAACAAAGTTATCGACACCTGTCTTATTTTGTAACTTATTATAACTTAATTTTTTATTTATTTCCAGGGTAAAGCGCATAATTTGAATTCTTAATTTGTGTTTTGCTGAATTCATCTAATATCATGGACGCGGAAATGGAGTTGGAAGCCTACTCCGAGCTGACACCAATCCAGAAATTTTTCTTTGGGAGATCGGTTTTTATAACAGGTGCTACTGGCCTTGTCGGAAAGGTAAATGATTTCTTTATCAAAAAGGAATTATCTCCTGCTTTATGTGAGCAATATAACATCATCATCTTGAAGAAAATTTTATATTTCGTCCTTGTTCTGAGAAATCGAATTCTATCCGTTACTTTCGTTTAACTCGTGTATTACTGAAGCTGAAGCAGTAGCAAGTAGTTAAATTGCTGAATCTAAAAAAAAAAAAAGGAGAGAGAGATTTTCATTGATGAAATAAATTTTATTTCTGTTTCTTTTAATTATAAATATATTATTATTAATTCGATATTACATTGCCTGATTCAGAGTATATATATATTTTTTCTTTTAACTGTTTGCAGTACATTCGTATTTGACATCTTATCAGTCGCGTAGCTTTTGTTATATTCTTGCATGCGTTATAATAAGGGTGTTAATTTTAATCTGTGAGCGAATTTCCGCAATTATACTTGCAAAATTCAAGGCATTTTAGATTTCGCAAATAGTAATTTTAATTAGTAACATTTTTTAGCAAATGTAGAATATTTTTGCGAATTTCAGATTTTTTTTTATGATTTCCTAATTTCAATTACAATTTCAGATTATTTTTCATATTTAAATAACTCTAATACATTTTCCATTACACGTTGCATTGATCTAAACTGCTAGTACTCTTCCGACATACACACCAGAGCTGAATATTAATCTCAGTTTGTTTTTAGATTTCTGAAAATTTCGTTTTTCAACGTTACGCAAAACCATTTTCCATTACCTGCAAGCATTGAAAAGCAGTTCCGATGTCGTATGATTATTTTCTTAAATTCAAAAACTTACTTTTTAATGAAGAAAACATGTGTGCGTTCAATATAATATATCAAATATTAGTAAATTTAAAAAAGCATGATTTTATATAACGACCTTTATTATATTTCCACATCATGACAGGTTTGTAAGTAAAATATAAAATTAGAATTATATTATAATAAATTGATCATATAATTATTATTACGATGGTATCTCGGTTTACATCATTAATCCATTCCAGATCCTTCGACGTATACCATAACAAACTTTTCCTTTAACAAATAAAGGGAAAATAATTAATTCGTTCTTATAAAAAAATCCTGTTGACTTTTGTTTAATCGATTAAACTCTCTTCGCAACATTAGCCTATTTAATAGAATCTTTAATTGTTATAATCGTAGATACCATCGTACTTGGCATACGGTATAAGTCCCGGATACGCATGCTCATTTTCATTTCATCACTTATCCTCCAACCGCCAAGCAAATTTTACCATTTTTATCCTCGATAAGAAAATTACTGCCCTAATTATATGTTAAGAGTGTAATTTATTGTGTGCATTATTCTGTTTTACTCCCAAGCACTCCAAGTTGTACCTCAGTGCCATAAGTACGATATAAATCCTTTGCGGCAATCATACTATCATAAGCATTTCAAGTTTAAAAAAATCCAACAACTAGATATTAAGACACAATAACACGCCGAACAAATGCTAATTCAGAAGTCAAACAACAAAAATCAGCGTAATATACAGGACGCTGATTTTACGCTGATTAATACAGGACGCCGCGTAATACGCTGATTTTTGTTGTTTGACTTTTCAGTTAGCACTAGATATTAGTTTAGCACTAAAATATTTCATATTTTGAATTTTTACACAGTACTTCGTAATAAAGATGTTCATTTGAGTTTTCATTACATTTTACTGCCCTTTACAGCAATAACAAATGAAAAACATATTTTTGTTTATTTTTTTAGTTTGCTAATAACTAGATTCTGAAACAAAAGTAAAAGATAAAATTTTTTTATTATTTATTTTAACACCCAAGCAAACGTTTGACACTAACCTCTGTAAAGATTCTGTCCTGTGTACTTAAGTTACAGTTTAATGTGAAGAATCTTAAGAACTAGTAAGAGTATAATCGCTTGAGTTCGTGTGCAGGAAACAACAAGTAAGAAGTGTGAAATAACCCTTTATTATTCCAATAAGTTGTAACAGAACTCCGTCTTGGAGTTGTACAATAAAGCCGACACTCGGGCTTGAACTTAAGAGACTAAGAACTAAACTAAACTAAAAAGATATAACCGAAGCTATCAAACTTCTAACGGAGTTGGCCCCTTAACGCTAATTTACTGCGAAGCTATCAAGGGCCTAAAGTACGGCCAAGCGTAATAATAACTTACGAAAGAGTAGCCTAAAAAGGCGGACGCGTGCTAACCGGAATATCTGGTATCTCTCTCACTAAGACAGTAAAACTTCGCGGTTAAATACCGCTCTTCCTCATTAGCATTCAGACATGATTCTAAAACTACATTCTGGCCGGAAGTGGTAAGTTGAAATTAAAAAGCGATAGGAAAGGAAGTTTAACTAAAAATTTAACTGTTAATAAAATTAACATAATTCTTATATCTCATTTAAAGAAATGAAAAATAGGGCTAAAGATTTGAATATCGTATTTGTCAATTTAATGCACATCGATATTAAAGTCGTATTTCTTCTTTTCGCCATCTGTTGGTAGATTTTCAAGACACAAACAGCTTAATTTCATTCATAATTCCTGATTTTTGTTATTACATATATTTAGTTGCTTAGCTGAAATGCCAACAGATTTAATTTTAAAACTATTGGCAAGTAAATATGGTGTGTATTTAATTATGGCAAAGCACACTAGGCCTATCGGGAGGGATGCCTTCGTGGAGGACTTTCTAAGGGAAACTGGTTCGTATACACGTTACACATGGGGAAAACCACGAAAACGCCTATGCAGACAGCCCGTTCGCGGGATTCGAACCTCGGACCGAACTACCAGTGTTCAGCGACTTTACCGCTCGGCCGCTGGTGGGCTCAGCATGTAAATATGATAGGAATTATTTGTATGAGATATCTCCAGAATACTTTTGCTAATGTTTATTTGGCTGCCCTTGAAAACAGATTAATATTATATATCCTAGTATTTCCAGCTGATACGTCAAGTTTAACTTTGGGATCATTATGATTTTTGAAATGTATGACAGATATTCCCAATTTTTATCATCATTACAATATCATTATTAGACGTGATAAAAACGTTATATTTATTGAATCTTCAGATAAATTATTAAAGTAATTCAGATAAATTATTAAAGTAATCATTCGATGAGTAACGTCTGCTAATGTAATAATGAATAAGACACTAATATAATAATGAATAATTAGAGAAATTACCAAATACGAGTAAATTAAAATTACCAAATACGAGTAAATTAAAATTACCAAATACGAGTAAATTAAAAGACTGTTCGTGTTCTGATTTGTTCAGAAGGTAGCAATATTTCAGTAATAACTGAAAAAATATTTTTTTAAATCACATGGCTGAATCGAAATTTTTTTAACCTTGAGAAAATCACTTCCCAAATTTATAATCAAAGTAGATTATATACAATTCATTTTACTGTATCATATTCTGAGTAGGATGTTTTGCTCTTTCTAATTTATGATTGCTAAAAATTATATATGTTTCGATAAATTACAAAATGTTTTGATCCCAAGAGCAAATATTTAAAATCCCCAAGAGCATGGTTAAATTTTAGCTTGACGTTTTTTATTTTAAACACAAATACCTTATTTGCTTTGAATTTAATTTAGTAAAAAGATTATTATATAGTGTTAATACATTTAATATTTTTCAGTAAATTTAATGACATTTATTTAAATGTAAATAAATTAATAGTCGTATTTAATTACATAAAATATATAATAAGTGGTCACAAATTAGAGATTAAAAAATGTACAAATAAGCTTAAATTACCATTCAAAACGTATAAATAAATAAAAAACTAATAAAAACAAATGCATATTATTACAAAGAAAATGTTGGGAAAAAATAAGAACAAATATTTATGTAAATTACGATAACATCCAGAGCGCTGTTTTCAGTTTGGGAGATTTTTTCTCAAATCGAAACCCTACTAAGCAAAAGCTAACTTCGTCTAACTTATATGTCTTGATGTATAGAGTGTTACAAACCGACTGCAACATTAGATGAATGTACCATCAAGAGTGCCATCTAAGTACCCATGATATGAGCCTGTATACTCAGCTCTGCTAATGTGAAATAAATTAAGCTTACGGAAATACTATCAAGTTTTAAAAATTTCCTTCCTTCCTTTCTCCTTAGGGTTAATTTCAAAAAGAAATTACAGTCCATTTTATTCCATGTCGCATTTAATAATCTTACCCTTTTGTGCGTAAAAGTATTTATCGCTTTACAAAAATTATTATTTAATATAGTACTATATCATTTAATTGGTATCATCACTTTTTGGATCAGACTGATAAAAGACAACGCTCAATATATTTTCTAAAATTTACGTAAAACGCATGAAACGTGCAGGGAATTTTTGTTCATAAAAACACTAAAATATTGTTAGGGTGTTATTGGCAATCAGGTTTCCAAACTTTTACGTTTGGTAATCATTCTTTGCATGAAATTCACAAGTTTCAGAAAGTAAGTTATAAAATAAGAAATTAATGATGTATTTCAGGTACTGGTCGAGAAGCTTCTTCGATGTTGCCCTGGGATTGGAAACCTGTATCTTCTTGTCAGACCCAAGAAAGGAAAAACAGCAGAGGAGCGAATTGATGAACTCTTCAATGTTGAGGTCAGTTGGATTTCGCAATCGTTTGTGGATTTCGCAATCGTTTGAGTTTCATTTTTGAAATCTTACATTTCAAAAATGAAACTTACTTTGATGTAATCAAAACATATATGTTTTTATAGAACCTATTCATACCAACTCAGGGATATTCCAGAACTCGTAATATGTAAGTTAATTTGTATTATTGCAAATTCCCAGGCAAAAGAGACTGAAATCTATAATTTTGATATTTTCGCGTTTTACGGACAAATGTTTCATCTCCTTGGTAAAAGATCCTTAATACGATGGAGAGAAATTTATTAATAGGAAGTTTCTTCGTCCGGGACAAATGCAAATATTTAAATTGTCTATACTTTTGGTAAACAAGTATGACTTAAACAATCAAGCAATATGCAGCAGTGAAATTGCTTTGAAACACCCATGATACATATCAGATTGCTCAAAATTTGATCAGAATCGGCTGCAGTGTTGTGTCTAGGATCGACGATCAGTTCTTAAATCACACTTATGTTTGTTTTCGACAGCTGTCTTCTTAATTGTCAGAACAGCGATAATTTGTTATTACTTCCTTGTACGAAGTAAAAAGGAAGTATTGTAATCGCGAAAAGTTTCAGGCAGCATATTTCAACGAAAATATCCATTTTGACCGCTATCGAATGCAATTTACGATGCTTTTGCGTGATATCTGTACGTAAGGACACAATAAAATACTCTTTTCCTTCAAAAAAATTATCAAACTGCTTTAAAATTAATTCTGAAGAGAATTTTTCGTGGCGTCTGTACAAACGTATGTACGTACGTACGTACGTATCTCGCATAACTCAAAAACGAGTAGCCTCAGAAAGTTGAAATTTTGTATTAGGACTGCTATAACACGTAGATGTGCACCTCGTATTTTGGTTGCAATCGGACGCACCAAACGTATATAAATATATTTATATATATATCCACTCTGTTACCCGGCTCAGTGATCTCAGTTTCTTTACTCTTATATGTTTATAAATTGTACATATTTTGCTTTAAAAATGATTGAATTATGTTGTTCTTATCTTCCGGTTAAGGTTTTTATGCCTTTAGTAAATCTGTGTGCAATATTTTTAGAATTATCAGCAATTTTAAAGTTGTTTAATTGCCGCAAAGCCTGTTTTTAATGGCGGCCATTGATGTTTACATTTGAAACAGGAGACTAGTGGATTTGTTGCCAATCTAGAGAAACTTAGCTTCGAAACAACAAAGATAACGCATTCATTTATTATTGCCAATTAAATCATGCTTAATTCTTTCTGGAATTTTTTCGAGGAAATAAGCGTTTGAGATTTACTTCGTAATTTTTAATATAGATATTTTGAGTTTTTATGTATTTTTTCCTTCTCGCGAAGTGAGAACTGAATTAATTAAATGAGAAATACTCAATCGTCTGTGAAAAACTGTTTCTTTTTTGTTTTATTTGCTTAATTTCTTTTATACATAGTTCTAGCTTTATTATAGTATTTGAATAGAACATGTGGCAACGATTAGATAATTCTTTAAATGATATACATTTTGTGCATTCTGAATTATAATATGAATGAAATATAATACTGTTAAGTAAACCTAGCGCCAGAGTGTCGCTATGGTAAACAAAGTGAATTTTAAAGAATGCATTTATTCTATTGTGGTTTATGCGCTGTCGGCGAAGTAGGTTTAATTCAATCTAATAAGTTTAAATAAAATGCAAGAAAAAATGCGTATAATTTAATATTCCGTACAAGGAAGTCATGTGGTGTACACATCAGATTTTTTTTTATTTGAGATTGAATACCCAACGCACTTTCTGACTCAAAAGTAAATATCATTAACACATTTCTGAATTCTTTACTTTATCTTGTAGCAGAACTGTAGAGTCATTAGGATTTTTTGATGCTGGAGAAGTGAAAAATGAGCATTGCCGTCGCCAAGACTCGAACCATGGACCTCTCGGATACGCGTCTAGTGTGCTAACTATGACACCACGAAGGCATGCTGGAAGGAGAGAGAAAAAACCTTATAGACTCCCCCTTTTAAAGGGCGACTGGGGATTAAGGGACCCAATTGCCAAATCCTGATAGTGAAGAATCATCATCCATCACCCGTTTAGTTCGGGCGCCACTGTAGATTCATTAAGAATCTTTTTTTTTATGCGAGAGACGTGAAAAATGAGCAATGCTCTCGTCGGGACTCGAACCCTGGGCCTCTCGAATACCCGTCGTGTGTGCTAACCGTTACACTACGAAGACATGCTGGATGGAGGGATAAAACACCTTATAGAACTACATACGAGTAACAAATATATAAGATATGTATTTGCATGTAAAAGTAAAGGAAGCATATAAGAAGTAAAGAAAATAAGAATTCTTCTTCATTATCAGTAAATCATTCATTCAGTTTTTCAATGAAATTAATAGCATATGAGGGCTGCTGGTCATAAGCATTGCATTCTCGGCGTTTGTGAGAGTAAAACAAGTACTGGCCTTGACCCTTGTCGGAATGGAGTTGCAGGCCTTTCAAGATTAGCAACCCATTTTTATAGGTTTCTTAGGCCTCTTAATTTTAAATCTAAGACCTCTTAATTGTCGATCTTATAGAAGACCTTTGTATAGTGGTGATTCCACTTCTTTTCGCAAATGTCAAGCTGCTACTCTCTTCCAGATTTTTAATAAAAGACAGCTCGAGATCTTTTATGCTCTGAACATTGTAAACAGTGCTCCAATACTCGGCTTCTGGTTCAATACATTGTTTTTGAAGTTAATTAAATACTGCATTTATCTTTCAGCTATTTTCGGTGCTGAAGAAAGTGTTCCCGAAGTTTCAAACGAAGGTACGTCTTGTTGATGGGGATCTGGAGAAAGACAGGTTGGGTATCTCAGATGAAGATTTTGAAGAGATTCGGGCAAATGTTTCCGTAGCCTTTCACTCTGCAGCTCGTGTGCAATTCAAAGATCCTCTCAAGTAAAAATATTAACTATATTTCTTTATTAGTTTTCGTAGATATTTTTACCATTGGTAATTCAAATTTTGCTTTGACATAACACAATTCAGTCAGAAAGTCAAACCTCGTCTATGAAAAGTTTAATGTTCTTTGCTAAATTTCCTGTTGGCGTGTGAGTTTCTTAAGTCAATAAAAAGAATAATTAGCGGTTATTTTCTGATTACTGCCAAAATACAATTTTTTTCATTTAATTAAATTCATCTATTTTCCCTTGTTTTCCATCAGAAGGCGGTGTTTTTTATGCTTGTAATTTAAAATGGTAAGCAATGTGCTTATAAATTTATTAAAAACTCAGTCATGAAACAGCTGATCGCAAAAATAAGCAGTTTATTTAGTACTTGATAAAATTTTATCTGAATTTAAGAAGGTAATTGAGGTCGTTCCAGTAACTGAGGTAACGTTATAAAGAGATTTAGCAACATTCTTTACTTCACATTATGTCAGAATTTGGCAAGAGAAAAATGAGGCAGGTAAATCATTTGCCTTGTAATTATGAACATACATAAACATTTAAGACTATTACTATACTTTGGCGTCTGTGAATTATTCGGTATAACTAAATCAAAGATTAATATTAGTAACATAATATTAAGCTTCAGTACTTTTTGTAATTAGACCTTTGCAATAACGCAAAATTTTCATTTTATGTGCCTGTATTACTGTCTTGAATAAAGCTTACGTTTAAATTTTTTTGATAACTTGTTCCGGACTTTCAAAACCCTAGCAACTGACATGTGCTGCTCTGAATTTCTGTCGGAAATCTCATAGCCATTAATATTAAAATTTCATGTTTGTAATGTACTAGTATTCCCATTAAAATTATCATGCATACTTAGTTGAACTTAGTAATAGCAGAAAGTAGCATTCGATCTGAGCTTATGAATCTGCTTTATATTTAAAGCGTAGAAACGTTTCAAAAATGCTTCACTAGAAATCGAAAAAATCCAAATAAACGTTCATTTCACATTATTCTGTAGGAGAAAATTCAGGATACGAAATGGAATGATCTTAATTTATCCAATAGTAGATATCGTCATAAGAGATACTTTTTTAAAGTTCTGAATTCAAGGTGAGCCAAACCACTCTTTTATGTGATTGAATCAGAACCATTTACTCATTGAACTGAATCGTTTCTTTTTTATAACTCATCATTCACTAACAATAACCTTTATGAATAAATCGAGAACGGGGAGTGATTTAAGAACGGTAAGCGAGAAGGAAAGAAGAGTGGGAAGAATCGAAAGAGCAGTGGGATCGAAAGAATCACTTTATGGAATCTCTAGCTTCCTGGTCTGATTCCCTAAAAACGCTTTTCTATATTGAAACAATAAAATTCCATAATAATAAAATGTTAAAAAAGATACGAAATGATAAAATATTAAACTCACTTTCAACATGGGAGGATAAGCATTCTTTTCTTTCCTAAAATTAGACCCAAACTTTATTCGCACACTTCCAACAAGAGCTCTAATGGGAAAAATCTAAAAGAGCTACCGTTCTATTCTGACGAATCAGCGTTCTCTTACTCACTAAGATAAATAGATTCTTTAAATCAGTTCGTGAGCAAATAACACATCTCTGTTCCGAGCCACAAGTTGCAAATTTTATTCGAAGTGAAAATATTATGCTGTTATTTCAATTTTAGGATTCTGTCATGGTTTATGTTCTTCAAACAAAATTACTGAAAAAGTTACATTATGAGGGAAAATGTCCTTTCTAAAACATTACTTAATCGCGTTACGTTAAAATGTAAATTACTTTAAAATATTATGGCGTGTTAACTGGCGTTTGAAATAATGCCATGCATTTAGTTGGAACGTTACTTTTGAGCTCCGAATATTTTGCATTTCATTTAGAAAACATATCATTAGCTCCTGAAAAGACAGATTTAAGTTATATGCATATTTAATATTAAGGAATGCTAAACGAGTTTTATTATATTTTTCTTCAACTAAGACTACATCATTAATAGCTAATCCTGTCATTTTCTAAGGCTGAGTTTCGTTTGTAAAAGTTTTTCTGTGAATGGTGTGTAAATGTTTGTTTATATATAAAATTAGGCACCTTATTTATAAATAATTTTTCACCTAATTTGTACTTTTATAGGTTAGCGGTTCAAAGTAACATGATAGCAACTAAAATGTTAGTGGATTTGTGCCACCAGCTACCGCATATGGCAGTAAGTAATTGCAAGTTTATTTACGAAGTTCAGAACAATTATGTTGAAAAAGTATTTTAATTTTTTAGCTCTTAAGTGTAATAAACAAATATTCTTATTTCGAAGTTAAGTATGACTTTCTAAAAAGGATTTATTGCTAAGCGATGTTTTGTAATGCCTGGATATTTTATCCCAGTAATCTATGCGACGATTTTTCCTCAATACTTTTATTATCGCAAATTTTAGTGCGGAAATTTTGCTATAGATAAACTTGATTTTTATACAAGAAAATGTGCATTTTTATCGCGATAATTTTTGTTCTCCGTGTTTCTGCCAAATATTTTTTCTTCGAAATTTTAAAGTAAATTTATGTTATTTATGGTATTTATGTTACACGTTAGAAAAAAAAAGCGAATTTCTACGCGGACAGCTGAATCGAATGAATGTTCGATTTTTCTACTTATCCTGTCACTGAGATCACTCCGTAAAAGGAATGTTAATTTTAAAATGACAGTGTTGATATTTGTTTGGTTTTGGGATTACGTTTCGCATATCGCCAAAAATGACAAATTCTGCAAGCTTGAAGCGAAAAAGAAAAAAATATTATTGAGTACGGGTAGTCATACACAAAATGTATTTGCATATCTTGATTTATTTCAGAATGGAACTAAACGTTGTAAGACCTATCTCTAACTGTCCACATGCATTAACTTAGATCGTACGATGAATCTGGCGGATTCTCGCACAGACGGGAAATAAATACCAGCACAGAAGAAGGGTGAAAATAACCCTTTATTAACTCAAACTAAAATAACAGACAGCACAAACTTCGTGCTTTACAAAAACACCGTTTATTGCGGCGATAACTAAACGCAGACTAGTATACAAATCAAAAATCTTAAAACTAAACGAATGCAAGAACGCACTTCAAAATTACTCCTACGAGAAGGACTCACAGAGATCTAACCAGCGTAATACTAAACTGACAAGGCCAAAAGGCTTACTCGGGTGACCGCGAAATAACAACGCACAGTGCGCTAGGCTAGCGAAACACGCTCTGAATAAACTGAGATAATCACACGTTTAAATAGCACTTCACTTAACTTTGAAATGTACATCCTGGAGAGAGAATGTGAGGGGAAGTTTGAGAAGTTGAGAACAGGTAAACTTAAAATAATTTTGTTATGCAAATTAAGAAAAAACCCTACAATGTGTGTATTGTTACATGTATGAATGATATTCTTCATGCGTCCCTAAACTGTGAAATTAGTATTTTATTTCAATCTGCTACGACTATGCTTTTAAAATATTTTAAAAAACTGTAATTTCTTTTTATACATTGTTATTCTCCTCATTAGTCTTGGATATCTCTTCGTAAGTAAGTCAGATTTCTTAAATAAGTAATCTCTCTCTCTCTGAGATTGAGAAAATCAATTTCGTAGTTGTAAAAAAACTTTATACATTACCCATAGACAAAATGATTTTGCGATTTAGGTTATTGTTAAATACATTTTCCGGTTAAAGTATGAATGCATTCTTTTCTACTATATTTGCTTTTATATGAATGAAATATCAACTTTTACATTTCAGATAATCACTTATTTCAAGTCTAATTCAGTTTAAGTATTTTTGAAAGTTTATTGTTTTATTGAGAATTTGTGTTACTCAGTATAAAGAGATTTAAAGTACTAAAATATATCTCATCCTTAAAATTATTTATCTCGGAAAACGTTGCAGGCTGCAGTTCACGTGTCAACATCTTACATCAGAAGAGAACCCGATGGATATGTATTAGAACGAGTACCCGTCTGCAAAGTGCCTCCTAAGAAGATTCTGGACGCCATGGAGTAAGCTTTTAGTTCATTGATAAAATGTTAAAACATTGTGAAGTTTATATTATTTTTACTAATAGTTATTTTAATTTGTTAGCATTTCCTGTTTCTCTCGCGTTTCCTCGCCAGGATGTAAATGAGTTAGGATGACCGAGAGTGCATTTAAACTGAAGTAGCGAAAAGGTCAGTCACAGTGTGTTTCGTTATTGAGTGCGCAAGTTGTTGTTTTTACCAGCTGTTTTAATTCTGAATCTCGGCTCCGTATTCTTGCCGCCGAAGTTTAATATTACGCCGGTGTATCTGAGTCAGCCTCCTAGGTTAAATTAATTTGTGTGGTCTTGAACTAGTAGCTTATTTTTAAACTCAGTTTAGCTTACCATTATCTTTAGTTTTATTCTCACAAGCGAATGGTGCATTCTTAAGCACACAGACTGTGCCGTCTGTAAATATCGCCAATCGCCAAATCCTGGGTATGGAGAGTCATCATCCACAACCCTTTTAGTTCGGGCGCCACCGTAGAGATATTAGGATTTTTTTGGAAAAGCCGGCAAGATGAAAAATTAGCAACCTCCTTCGCCGGGAATCGAACCACGGACCTCTGGAATACCGGCCCAGCGTGCAGAACCACTACACTACGAAGGCACGCTAGGAAAGCGGGAGGAATACCTTACAAGGTTAAAATAACCTTTTCATTAGATCTTTAAATTAAATAGAGAACACCACTTGCGCATAGAAATAACATCCCCCACTTACGGGTTTTTAAAATAGCATCATAAGTTGAAATTCAAATTAGAGATAACGTAACCATTTTCTGTAGAGACTACAGAAAATGGTTTACTTAAGTTTGTACATAAATTAGGTTATTTCGAAGCAGGAAAGATGAAAAATGAGCAATGCTCTCTCCGGAACTCGAACCACGGACTTCTCGAATACGCGTCGAACAGGCTGACCACTACACTACGAAGGCATGCTAAGAAGGCTGGAGAAATACCTTATATACTCCCCCTTTTAAAGGGCGGCTGGGGTTTTAGGGGACCCAATCGCCAAATCCTGGTGGTGGAGAATCATCATTCACCACCTTTTTTTTTATTTCAGGCTAAACTGTAGAGACATTAGGTTATTTCGAAGCAGGGAAAGATGAAAAATGAGCAATGCCCTCGCTGGTACTGGAAACATGGACATCTCGAATACGCGCCGATCGTGCCGACCACTACACCACGAGGGCATGCTAAGAAGGCGGAAGAAATACCTTATAAGTTGGCTAAAATATTTTAACTATGCGTTTTTGACAACAACCAACAAAATGTCTAAAGCGGAATAATTCCTGGCACAGCTGGGCGGTAGGACGTAAACTGCAAGCTGAGTTGCCAAAATTTTTAACTACAGCGCATTCAAAACCCCCTACTTAAATACCCTGCCACCTAACTTGCATTTTGGTTAGGACTACAGTTTTAAATCGTAATAATTTGTTAATTAACATTAAATACCTTATACATATATTAACTGGAAATCGGAAGTAAAATATAAAAACCTAAGAACAGATTATGGAGAGTATATGAGTGTAATTTAAGCTTTAACCTAATCTCATATTCTTAAGAAATACGTTATCAAATAACATTATTCGAAGAGTATGGACAATAGCAAAAAATCTGACTGTATATCTGAAATCAGAATTTAAAAAAATACGTGCTAAACATAACAGCACATACTCTCAAAATCTTTACTTTCGAGTTTTATTTACTATCCCATCCGCATTAGTACATTTCGAATAGTAAGAAATATGATGAATTCATTTTTGCATTTTATTTCGTAAATTATGCTATAAAACATTCGCACGTTAATAGATGACGGTTGACGAAGGATGGGGGCACCGTTTATTTACCCTAGATTAGTCGGTTTCTTCCCGCGTCCGCCTATTTCGAGTAAGAACACTTTATTCGAAGAAATCGTTTACAGGAGAGCAAAGCCCAATTTATTTAGTATTATCCTAGACTGCTATACATCTGCAACTGTTTTACCACTATATATCTGCCGAGAAGCAGGCGTATAGCTGTAAGTTACATACTTAAATTAAACGGTACTAAGATTGTCATACAAAAGTATGCATAAAGTATATACTTGTATAAATGTTAACTGCATTAAGTATAAGACGATGAATAGGTGTACGAATAAATTAATAAATTCGTATATTGATTAAGTATAAAGTGCCAATTATGAAAATAACTGAATACTGAATGTTGGATGATGCTAAAAATAATGCTGAGAAATTCCTAAGATTAAAAAGATATATAATTAGTATGCAGCAAATGTACAAGAATGACACATCAGTTCGTATGTCCATAAGTCAAGTCACATCAGTTCAGATGTATTTTCTTCTAAAGAGATTCTAAGATACTACATTTAAAATTAGATACTCTAAAATACTACACATTAGCATAATATCCACTTAGGAATCATTATTACGCTATATAATAGATGCTGTTATAATATGTTGCGACTTGAGTTATTTTGTTACGCAGCGTACCACTGTTTGTTAATAAATGCCTGGAATTCTCTTTCTTATGCGCAGATGGATGGACGAAGATTGCATAAATGCTTTGACTGATTATTTGCTAGAAGGTAAATTTACTACCTATTTGGTGACCAAAGCTCTAGCTGAAAAAATTGTCGAAGAAGACCGTGGAGATCTACCGACTGCCATTGTAAGACCATGTAATGTCAGTCCTACCTATAAGGATCCTTTTCCGGTACGTATGTTTCTATTTAGAGAGCTGTTTACTATCTTAACCTAGATCACAGCTGAAATTCATAGATTTATTGATGTTTGAATTTCATAAGTTGTTGGACTACAGAGTGGGCCAGAATTCAAAGCAGGATTGGGTTAATGAATGACTCTATTTTAGCATAGTTCAATTCTCACCGCTTTTCCACAGATATGTATTATTCTTAAGCTTTTCAAGAAGGAGCAATAAATAGAAACAGTTATTTTCAAAATGGAAAGTCCTTCTTTTTCACCTGCCATTTTAAAAATAAAAATTTAATATTTTAAAAATGATTTTTGGAGTCATTAAAATAAGAGACAGCTATTGATTTAGAGACTAATGCAAAAATTTGAGGAAACTTAGGCACAAACTTGTACAGATCCCAACTGCTCTGGGCAGTTAACCTGGATCCGTGAAGACATTCAGACTACCATTTTGTCTTAAATATCTAAATAAAATAACTTCAATTCAGAAGAAGGTTTAAAATAAACCTTTCTACTAAATCTTTAACCTGATGTTTACACTATCAGGGTCAATGTTCCTTCTAACCTTCTTCGGGAACATACAAGGACCTGACTCGGAACAGAGAGCTTACTAAAGCTATGTTCACTAATTGTGGTAAGTAGACAGGATACAGACGAAGGGTATACAAAACCCTTTATTTTTCTCTATATACAATAACTTCCGTACTTCGGAATACACTGACCCGCCACTTGGGGTCTAACGTAAAAGTATAAAAATAAAAACTAAACTCTAATTTAACTTTAGAATAATACACGTGGAAGATTGGCCTTATAATAACAGGAAGGCGTATGTAGTAAAGATAACTGAGAACACTACAATACGTTTAAATTTATAAAGAGGATTAAAACCTCTGGCCTGGAAGGCAAACAGCAACTGCGTAACTTCTAAGGTAAGCGGCCTGCTTTGACTCACTGCTTCCTCTCTCTCGCTTGGCAAAAGGCCACAACTTAAATACTTGGCGTTCGCCAGACAAACTTTGCATAAAAACCTTCACGCTTATAATTCTGGCCGGAAGTAGAAAATAAGAAGTGATAGTAAAGATTTAAAATAAAATAAACGTTAGTAAAACTTAAGATCCTTACATACTTCCCGCCAGAGTTAATTAGTTTGAAACTGAGGTCTAAAACGACCTTGTTGAAAACTTTTAGCTCTAGAATCTAACGCGAGGCCAATCTTTTACAAACATAACTTCGCTAGAAACTAGAAATTTAAAAGAAAGAAAGAAATTTGTTACAATAGCAGCTCCCAGGATATACAACAATCTTTTTTCATCTGTACTGCATCTAAACAGGAGCTTTTATTCAATTCTGGTTCCTTCCAGAGATCTGGAAGGAAAACTAGTTTAATGAAATGTTACACAATGAAATGGCAAGTAACATATACAATTATACTTCTCTTAACATTCTTATTTCATTCATGACTATTTTAATTATCTCTCCCCGTGCTCTCTGACATGTGTTGTAAAAGAACACCAAACACGAATGTGTTTCTGTCTACGTGTTCCAACACTACCTCCTACAATCAAAACACTAACGTGTTAAAATTCAACATAACAAGACCTCTTAACACACCCTAATTTCAACTCTAAACCCTGAGGTACTATTCTGAAAGTGTCTAACTCTAAAGTGTAGCGTCAGAGAGCCTAACTACATCATTCAACCTTTAACACATATTCGCCATGATTTAGTCTTTACAGTCACACGAATAACAAATTTTTAACATTACTTTCACTTTTACCATATCACGGTATTTCTTAACATTTAAAATAACAGTTCACATTGTATATAAGAACATATCAACATGCTGTTAATTTTACACATTTGAAAACATACATTAGTAGTACCTTGTTAACTTCTATTCTTTTCAAAGCAAGTGCCAATTCTTTCTACATTGAAATAATACATTTCAAAAAGTCTTTCAGACTAAAACTTCTCTCTTGCTAGAATGTTTTAAATAAAATTTATACAATAACTTTTTACAATATTTAAGTCTTTTTTACACAACGCTATTATACATCAACTTTAGTTTTACACGCGCGAGTAATTGAAAAACATAATAAGAAAATCGGTCACAACTCATTTCTCGCCCTTTTGGCGATAAACGGTAGACCTCGCATGAGGTAAAACTTCTTGAAATCTGCCACTTGCAGTAAGAATGAAAGATTAACTTAAGTTTGCAAAGTAAACATAAAATTTTACTTATCTTTGTAATATTCGGACATCCTTTTCTGGGCCCAGTCTTTAAAGGTACTGCAGATAGTTTTTGATTTATCCTCCTTCTTGTACGGGCTCGCCCTTCAGTGCTTTACTCTGGAAGCTTCCTTTTTTTCACCAGTTCGGCCACCCTTGAATACCTTCCTTTTCTCCTCTGCTTGTGGTCTTGGCCGTTTGATGGCAGCTGGTCTTGGCGGAACCGGGAAACTTCTCCGTCGTGATCTTGCTTGGACCTCGTTGCTGGCCGTTCAAATTTTTCCTTGTACTTTTTCCTCCGCCGCTGATGGCCCTTCCGCAGTTCGGCGACTTTTGCTGCGGAGAGTTCTGTCGGATGAGTAGATCTTCCGTTTTTTTGAGCCGGGTTATAGTTGTCGTCATTTCTCCCTGGTTCTCTTCACATATACGTCGTCCTTCTCCCTTCTTCATTCTGGGGGTGTTCGTGAACTCTCTTTTCTGGACGGTGGAACGGCTTCTTTTTCTTGTTACCTTCAATTTTTCCGCGGGGCAATTTTCTTTTGACTTGCTTCTGTCTCTTATAGGCTTGCCCTTGTACTTGTCGTTTTTCCACCTCTGGAGCTTGTGCCTGCGGTGTCTGCCGTGCCGGATCCTGCAAAAGATCTGAAAAGATTTGCATTTTATTACGATCGAAGTAGGGCTTGATTTGATCAATGTTTGCGGAACAGGCTTCACCATTTCTGGCTTTTAACACTACAACAGCGTGAGTTATTTTTTCTATAACATATGGTCCTTCAAATCGTGGAAAAAATTTGGCAGTTTTATCTTCTGGTGCTGAAGAAAGTGAATGCTTAATTTTTAAAACTTCATCCCCTACTTTATAAGTTACTCCCCGTCTTTTTCAAATCATAATATAGCTTCTGTTTTTCTTGTGCTACTTCCGTATTCTTTTTTGCTTCTTTTATTAGTTTTTCTATATCACCCATTTTAAATTCTGGGGCTCTTTGTTGCACATAAATAATTTATCTAACGGGTTTATAATCTTTCTGCCTAGAAATAACTCAGCAGGAGTTTTGCCCGTTGTATCATGTTTTGCGGTCGGTCCTAAGGGCGAAAGCAAATTCATTGACATAGTTATCCCAGCTTTTATGAAAATTTTTAACATAACTACGGATAATTTTCACTATATTTCTATTGACCCGTTCCGCTATATTTGATTGCGGCCGATACGGGACCATTTTTAAATGACGTATGCCCAGTTTTTGGCACATGTCTTCAAATATATTACTTACAAATTGAGGACCATTATCCGATATAACTTTTAGGGGCGCCCCGTATTTTAAAATATATTTATTTAAAATAGAATCAGTAACTAATTTCGCGGAGGCTCGTTTTAAGGGAACAATTTTGGTCCATTTACTAAAATGATCAACCATAACAAGGAGATAGCGACTTTTATTTAACTGACTTTTTGGGAAAGGGCCCAATAAATCGATGCCAATTATTTCATTTGGAAATTCGGATTTAATACTATTTAGAAACCCGGCCGGGCGGAAATTAATATAATTAACTGCTTGACATGTTGGGTTGGCAGGACTGGACTTGTACTTACGCCCTTGTTAACTTTTGCAGTTCAGGAAAGTAGACTGCCTGCCTCGCGTACGCGTTGGATAGGTTTTTCGAATACCAGCCATGAGAAGCTAAAGGCTGTCAATGGTCAACTCCTGCAAGTATAATTTAATCTAATAGCTAATTTAATTTAATAGCTGGGATAACAGGTCGAAATTCGTTGTTGGAATTCGTAGTTTTTGTATAAAATAAAAGACCATCTATTAGTTTGTAATGGGCCGCCCTATTTCTTATCGCCACAATATCTTGGTGGCTAAAATTTCAGGATCCTTCAAATACTCATAAATGCTTCCAAACTCAGGATCCTTACCCCTTTTTCGGTTATTACAGTTTCTCTCGGGAATTTATTGTACATGCTGTAAGCATTGCCATCTTTACGGTATTGCCTTATTCGTCTATTTTAATCTTGATAGGGCATCTGCTACGATATTTCCTTTCCAGGGGTATGCTTGATTATCCAGATTATATTCTTGCAGCTTGAGTGCCCATCTTATTAACCTTGGGGATAAATTTTTCCCTGAGTACAATCTAGTTACCGCCGCATGATCAGAGTATACTGTTATCGGCGCCTTTCCAAAATAGACTCGGAACTTTTTGCACTGCTAACAGAACTGCAAGTGCCTCTCTCTCGGTCGCGGAATAGTTTCTTTGTGTTTGATTTAAAGTTCGGCTAAAAAATGCCACGGGCTGCTGATTTTGCGAAAGTACCGCTCCTACCGCATAATCCGAAGCATCCGCGCTGAAATTTCTAAATTTTTCATCCTTTTCAGGAAATTTCAACCACAGGTGGCTGCTGCGTTAATGCTTGTTTTAATTTTTCGAAAGCACTATTGGCTTCGGCCGTCCACGAGAATCTTGCCTTTTTCCTTTTTAATTTTAAACATGGCTCAGCGATAGCTGCAAAATCTTTTATAAAGGACCTATAATATGAACAAAGTCCTAGAAAAGAAGAGAGCTTCTTTGCCGTGTTTGGAGTCGGATACTTTTGTACAGCGATTATTTTTGATTCATCTGTCTCGATCCCTTTTTTGAGATATTTTGTAACCTAAATATTTTAATTCAGGGGCTGCAAATTTGCACTTTTCGACATTAACTTTTAGACCGGCCTCATTTAATAAAGAAAACACCTGTCTTAAATCCTGTACATGTTGGTCGAGATTATCACTAGTAATAATGATATCGTCTAAATAGATAAATGTGGACTTTCCAAGAACAGGTCTTAACACAATGTCCATGCATCGCTGAAATGTTGCCGGGGTCCCTGAAAGGCCAAACGGCATACGCAAAAATGCATAAGTGCCAGACTTGGTTATAAAAGCAGTCTTAGGCACGTCCTCAGGCCTCACCCCTATTTGAAAATAACCAGTCGTTAAGTCTAAAGTCGTCATAAATTTGGTTGATTTTATGTTCCTTAAAATTTTTTCTATGATCGGTAACGGATATACCGGATATTTCGTTATGGAATTTAATTTACGGTAATCAATAGCGAATCTCCCCCTTTTTGGATGCCCAAAGGATAGTCATTATTTTCTTACATAAAACCACCGGGCTAGCATAACTACTTGAGATGGGCGTTATGATCTTTTTTTACGTAGCAATATCGGTAATATATGCCATTCTATAATTTTTTCCTTATTCTTATCATACCGGTATGGTTTTTGGCGAACTGGCATTGCATCTATCTCCGGTGTCAATACTATGGTTAGTAACCTGAGTAAAATCCTGGAATATCACTAAATAACGAAGCAAATTCACTTACCACTTGTCGGATTCTATCTTGCTCGTCATTAGGCAGGTGGTCAAGTTTTAACAAAACATCGGCGGTTCAGCGTTTTCAGTACGAACTGGTTTCATTGTCAGCTTAAGGACGCTTCAGTTAAAATCAATAGCGTAGCTTGGGCTTCTGAAAGAAATCTATTCCTAAATTAAAAAATTAAATGTGCTTGCAGATTCTTTACTATAAAAAAACATCACCTTTATTTGTTCGTCCTTGATACGGATATACAAAGGTACTTTACCTACGCACTTACATTTTCTCCTTGCGCCGCTAACACTGTCGTATTATCCGCATTATATATGCGGTATTTGCGAAAATACTTCCTAAAAAACTCTTCTGCCACACAGGAACACTGCCTGCGCCGGTATCCAGGAGTGCGGTGGCTGGGATATTATTCACCAAGACTTCAATCTTCGGAAGAGTCAAATTTTTCACCATTACTGTATTTAACTTGTAGGAAGAGGGGTTTTCGTGGCCTTCGGATTTCCGCACCCTCCCGTCAGCAGAAATCCGTTTTTAGTTTAAATTATTTTTCCTTTCCGTGCTTTCCTTCTTTTTCCCCTGGCCTTGAGACTTTTTCCTGGGTTGCTATTGAAACTGTCGACGTCCGCCGGCTGTTTTTGAATGCTCGGGTTTCCTTGCCCACTGATTCGCTTTTTCTCCGTAGCCGTATGCTTGAGTTTGCTGTAGTCTTGGCGTACCAAATTGGGTTTCGCTGTTGATATTGGCGTCTTCTTTCGACGTCCGCCGTTCTTCTTCTTCTTTCAAACTGGATTGCTAGCTCAAATAACTTTCCAGTGTAGTCGGATTTCTTAATTCAATAAAGTCTTGCACTTGGGCAGTAACCTCGGCAAAATCACTTGAATTATTTCAGGATCCGGACGGTTTCCATACAAGAGCTTGAAAACGTGAATTTTTCTTAAAATAAAGCTCGAGAGGTTTTCGATTCTTTGTTGATATAAACGAAAAAGTTCCGTTTCTAATTTCGCACGATCCCTTACACAGGGAAGGCTTTTAGTAGGGCAGTCTTGAAATTTTCGTAAGTATAGGTGGGACTTCCTGCTTGACCCAAGAGACTTCTGCCTATACATTTGAACCAGTTAAGCGCTTGGCCCCTCAAAGCGCTGGTAGCTAAGGTAACTTTTGAACTCGTGCACGGGTTAGAGCACGAAAGTGGTCATCCAATTTTTCCAAAAAACTGGTTACCTGTGAGTTTCCATTAAATGTTGCTTCTGGTTCATCGAAGCGCGCATGGTCTGGACTATACCCAAATCCTTCCAGGGCGGCAGCTGGCATTTTCTGGATTCTGAGCTGTTTCTGCAGGCAGCACAGGTTCTTCTTGAAACTCGGCCATGGTTATTCTTCGTCGGGGGGCGCCACTATCAGGTTCAATGTTTTTACCTTCTTCGGAAACATACAAGGACCTGACTCGGAACAGAGAGCTTACGAAAGCTATGTTCACAATTGTGGTAAGTAGACAGGATACAGACGAAGGTATACAAAACCCTTTATTTTTCTCTATATACAATAACTTCCGTACTTCGGAATACACTGACCGCCACTGGGGCTAACGTAAAAATAAAAATAAAAAAAAACTCTAATTTAACTTTAGAATAATACACGTGGAAGATTGGCCTTATAATAACAGGAAGGCGTATGTAGTAAAGATAACTGAGAACATACAATACGTTTTAAATTTATAAGAGGATTAAAACCTCTGGCCTGGAAGGAAACAGCAACTGCGTAACTTCTAAGGTAAGCGGCCTGCTTTGACTCACTGCTTCCTCTCTCTCGCTTGGCAAAAGGCCACAACTTAAATACTTGGCGTTCGCCAGACAAACTTTGCATAAAAACCTTCACGCTTATAATTCTGGCCGGAAGTAGAAAATAAGAAGTGATAGTAAAGATTTAAAATAAAATAAACGTTAGTAAAACTTAAGATCCTTACAACACAACCTGTGTTATAACAGACAGCATTTTCCGCATGTTGCTAGAAGACAGAAACAAAAGTTAAAAAAAAAATTCAAACATTGAATTTAGAAGGCAAAGCGCACCGACAAGCTTTAGTCCGGGCCCTCAGATTTTCACGGGCAGTTACGGCTAGAAGAGCTAAGCCCGATTCATATAATTCAGCCTCTTGAAGGAGCAATAGCGAGAAGGTCATCGATAGTTTCTAAAAGATCTCTATCGAACTCAAGAACTCTGTGATTAAACACATTTGCTAATTTGCATTCTAATGCAAGCTGGCGAAGGCAGAAGGGAAAGTAAAGGAAAGAAGTAATATGATAACTGATTAATAAGCATAAAATCCCACAAATAACTTAATTACAAGTAAGATGCGATTAATTAATTAACTGGCGCTCTGTTACATCAAGCCCCTATTCATTCTTCCCTAATTCAAGTTATAAATTCAGAAAGCATTCTTAGCTATGACAGAGCGCCTTATATAGACAGAAAATTTGCAACTTAGAAAAAATGTTCAAGCACTTGAGGTTAGATTTTATTATTCAGTTATGGCAAGGCAGAGCAGAGCTACCTGCTTGAGGCAAGGGATGCCTTAGGCGAAGAACTTCTAGGGAAAACTGGCTTGCATTCGCGTTACGCATGGAGAAAATCATAAAAAACAACCAAACAGTTAGCCTGTTTTTCCTAGGTTCAATCCAGGTAGAACACCAGTATTTAGCTGTATTAATCACTCGGCCACTAATAGGGCAGATCGAGAACTGGTGAAGCGGTTTTAGCCGTAAGGGAGTACTTTTAATTTAAGCTCAATGAAATATTTTTATTTTAATTTGAAACTCGGAAGACTTTGTCTTGAAGAACGCAACTTAGTTGACGTCGAGTCTTAATTCCGTAACGTAAATAGAAATGTAGACTGTTACTTTAAACTGCATAGGATAAAAAAATTTTTACCAATGCAATGTGTTGAAATTCGCCTTTAATTCGGGTTTATTTAAATTTATCCTCCAAAGAAGTGTAAATAAAAGCTTAAGTCTTTCAAAATTTTCTAGAATGTTAGTTAATTTTTCTGATAGTTAAAATAATCAGTATTTAATCTATCTATTAAAAAATTAAGTATTTTTTATTTTATTGCAGGGCTGGGTGGATTCTATTCAAGGACTTTCAGGATTATTACTTGCTGTAAGTTTCACTTCAATGGTACTTCCTTTATTGTTAAATACGTATGCTAATCTGATGGAATATGTAAGCAATTTTTTGGTCATAGTTTTGCTTAGAAAAATTTTATCACGATATCTATCGAGATTATGATCTAATGAAAATTGCTGTAGTTCCTCATCTTATAATGTTTTGTTACATTTAATCTCTGTGTTTAATGTTAATTTCTATTACTATTGAAAATGAATTTGGCAGGATAATTCAAGTCACTCTTTATTTCCAAATTAATCATTTAACATTCACAAATATATTGTATGTAACATAAAAAGCGTATCTAAATTTCTCTTTTCTGTGGTATTATAAATGTGTAGCAAGTGTTATAAAATCAGCGCATTGATTGTTTTACCTGAATCTTGATAGGGGGATTATTAAGATTCAGTAAAGGTTTAAGTTCAGATCAGAGTAACTTATTAAAATTGCTTTTTCCTAATATTTCTCTCCTTTGGAAAAATATAAATTTCCATTGGAGTCTATTAACCTAAATGATATTTCCTTTTGATCGAAGAACATATTTTTGTGCATACTTAGCGTACAAATTACTGTGATTAATTTTTTTTATATAATTTAAATGCATCTTTATTTTCAGGGCGCTAAAGGAGTATTGAGAACTCTTCCGACTGTAAAAGGACTGAAGATAAATGTAGTTCCCGTTGATTTGGTCGCTAATACTTTAATAGCTAGTGCATGGCACGTAGCAACAGAAAGGTAATAAATAATAAAACAAAAGTACGCGAAGACATTCATGTTTGCAAATACGCAGGCTTTTTCCAATCATACATGTAGAGTAGATATTTAAGCATAACAGTTATACATGAGCCATTCTATGGATATTCTTCAGACTTATCCGCAAATGTATAACTGAAAGTTTGTAAAAAATATGCTTTTTCTATTTGTCTGAGCTCAGAACTTATGAACATAGATAAAAACTTATTAATACTTGGATAAAAAAACATAATCTATTGATACATTTTGAACTCAGCTGAAACAAATGTTTTTTGTTCTAATTTGCAAAGTTTTAATTTTTTTAATTTAAATTGTATTTTAATTTACTAGCACTATACTAAAAAGGAAAATGGTGTGTTACATTTGGTAACTTTTATTCTTAGGTTCTTTAATAAACATATATAAAAAATCTCACTGATTAGTCTTTTGTAAATAGTTTCAGATTACTGTCATAGGTTTTTATTTCCTGCTCATATCTTGGCTAAGGTTTTCTGGCTCGTGCAAGATGAGGCACAAGCCCACAGAAATAAACAAAATCTCTCCCATCTTAATCTGAATATTTTTTAACACAATTTTTAGTCTCGATTAACCAAAGCTCGCTGGTGTTAGCCGCCGAATGTGCAGGGACTGAAATTCTGTAAATTTTGGTCATCCTTTGAAGGCATTTTAGGACTAGTAAACTATTCCACTGAAAAACTGCGGAGGTCTCGAAACGCTTGTTTTCAATGTCAAGTGGCCAATGTCGATGCTGTCCAATACTGAGCATGCTGTTTCGCAAACTCTCCGAATTTTTTTTTAGTCATTTCTTGAATGACCAACCCACCACGTCTTTAAAGTTTCAAAAAAAAATTCTTTCGAGCAGAATTTTTTTTATGCAAGCTGAATGGGCAAAAGCTATGTTGTGATAAAAATTCAAATTGTTTTAAAACATTAATAAGTTTTCTTATATTTACGTTTGTAAAACAACTTTGTAATTGGATTACTATCTAGTTTAACTGTTAACTGTTAATTAAGAAACTTTATATAAATAAACTCTAATAGTTTTGTGATCTGAGTTGTTATTTAATGAATGAACATTTTTATCGGAAATTATGCTTACATCTAAACATTATATTTTCATTATATCTCATTAACAGTCCTGTTATCTATAAGTTCTTTTTCTTCTTCTGAAAGCTGTGGTTTACAAAATGCTGAGCACTATGCTTGCATAATTTTCATAAAATGCTATGTATTGATTATATAAAACATTTAAATCCAATTTTCCGTAAAAATTAGGGTCGGCATTAATTGTTGCAAATCTTTATCTAAGATGTTTCAATGCATCATTTGGTACCAGACTATACGAGTGACCAATTGGTATATTTACTGATGTCCATAGAAAACTAGAAATTGTTTAGATAACCCTGACCTTTATGAGAATGTAGAAAAGCATTATCTCATCCTCAATAATTATCTATATTCAAGAAAAAAAGAATAAACTAGGAAGAAACTTCATAAATCATATTCATATTTTAATTGATCTAACTATATAGTCAGCAAGTGAAATAATATTGGCAATTTAAAAATATTTTGGCTTATTTGAATGAAGCCTTCAAAGGAGCAACCTGGAATAAAGATATTTATTTTAATCATTTAACAAGTTTGCGCATGAGCAACAAAAATGTGTGCGAGTCACCATTAATAGTGTTCTAGAAATCTTTCTATATCTTTTCGCAAGGATCCAATCTTCAGGATCGTATTCAGAAAGGATTGCAAAGGATCGTATTCATAAATTATTTTCTGTGCTTTAAAGAAAAATCTATATAGTATATCATTATCTCTTTCTATCTAATAAATGTCCAAAGAATGAAATAACTGAAAATTTTATGATGCAAGATCTGTTGAGAAAGGAGGATGGGCAAAGATTTTCTAATCTGGTTTCTAATAATAGTTTTTATTCCATGACAAATGGCTGTGAGATTTTTCAGTATTTTCTTGAAACATCCATTATGCCAGTTTGTTCGAAATTGTTTCTTGCTATGCAGAACTTTCTGTAACTGTGAACGGTAAATTTTACTATCTAGTGCTTGATTTATTTCAACATGTCTTGATGAATAATGACACGAAAACCCACTATGCAGTGAGCATAAATTTCTTCTGTCTTTGACGATCCGGCGAATGATTTTCCTGGCTTTCATATCATCCCAATTGTATCCATTTCTTCACAGGCCCAACTTTTACCATCAGTTACAGTGGTACAGAAGCTCTTGTGCTAAGGGGGAATGACAGGAAACGCTAACGGATATTCGGTATTTTTCATTTCTATTATAAGTTCCCAGGACTTTTGAATTTTCATTGCTATAGTGACTTAACTTAAATCGTCGCTATGAGATGGATGATCAGCAATAGATGGATATTAAACTTTTCTGCAGCAAAGAATGTACTTTTTTCCACCAAGGCTGCACCTTTAAGCTATAGACGACTTTGTTCAGGGTTCCACTATAAGCTTATTGAAGCTTATTAGAACAAAAGCATTCAAACCACCAGCAGTATTTTCCTTCGAACATAACATTATTTTGATACCGTTTACAAAAATTTCACTAGGTTACTTCTTTCCTCTTACGTTTCCTACTAATAAACAAAATTTCATCAGACTAATAAGCAGAACTGTACTTTATGTGTAGGTCATTAGATTTTGTTTTCATTGCCACATTATATTTTCCTAAGCAGATGATTACCGCTCTGTGCTACACTTTTCCAGTCACCTCTTTATGGCAGGCATTTCAGGTAACAAGAGTATTTCCAATAAGTTCATTTTCATACTTGTACACTTTTTCCTTTGCATTAAAGAGCTAAAACTTTTGTTTTCATTAAATACTATTAAATCTTTGCTGAGAAACTACTTTTTATGTATTTTTCTGTTCCATTGACACTATGAGTGTTGTAACACACTTGCTATTAACCCTTTTTATGTAATCTGCTGTGTTATTATAGCATTAATACAAACTAAGGACCAGTGATTAGCATTATTGTGGCTTATCTCAAACAGACTAGCATTATAGTTAAGATATTAAATGATAATTTGATTTATAGTTTAGCTGGTAGTTTATTATGGGTGACTGCATGTGTTCTTAACTATAGCTCACACTGACGTTCATAGAAGAGTGCAGTTTTTGATATATTATTTACCAAATAGTACCTTCTTGATATTTCACACGGGATAATGTTTTGTTTTTAAGGTATTTTTCCTACGCGGGAATTTTTAGATCAGTTTGATTCAAGTGCATTCTCACTGATATTTTGAGGACTATGAATTTACTGCTTAATAACACCGAGTAATAATTGCATTATGGAGATCATATATTATTCTCGTTAATCTCCTTAATAGTACTAAACATTTATTTATTTTTAAAGAAACAAATAGATATATTTTTGGTAAATTTGCATTAACTTTTTTTTTTTCAGACCACCGTATGTATACGTAGTGAACTGCGTTTTGGACTACCATAAACTTCCAGTGGCTGATGAAGATATTTTGGATGTAGCTTTAAAGAAAAGAGATGAATATCCTCTAGTCAGCATATATCGTTATCCGGATTTTAAAATGTACTACAGCTATCTGCCGTACAAAATACATTCTATAATCGATGAGTGGATTCCGGCTATCATTCTTGATTTCTTCCTTTACATATTTACAGGGAAGGTGATGTAAGTACTCGAAAATCATTCATCAGTTTAATTGCTAATCATTTGTTACAAAATAACCTTTTTGATTATCAAATGAAAAGATTACTACTTTCAAAGCTGAAACCAATTTTAATGTAACCTTGTAAGGCTCTTATCAGTTATAATTACTTTGATCTTTTCATATTCCTAACCAGAATACGAATTAGCTTTTAAAGTATAATAGCTGAGGGTTTTTGAATTTTAGAGAAAGTGAGTTTTTGGCGCTTGCGCCGCGATGCTAGAATTTCGCTAGCTTTGTCTAAAAGTGACTGTCCCGGTGATTGCATTCTCTTGGAAACGATACTTTAAACTTATTGATCCAGACTGTAGCTTATGTTACTGAATGTGTAATCTTTGACTTGTAGAGACATTAGGAATTTTTGGAAGCAGGAGATGTGAAAAATGAATATTGCCCCACCAAGATTCGAACCATGGACCTCTCGAATACGCGCCGAGCGTGCTGACCACTACACCACGAAAGCATGCTAAGAAGGCGTGAGAAATACCTTATATACTCCCCCTTTTAAAGGACGACTGGGGTTTAGGGGACCTAGTCGCCAAATTCTGGTGGTGGAGAATCATCATCCACCACCATTTTTAGTTCGGGTGTCACTATAGAGAAACAGGTGGTGGATAATGTTTCTTTACCACCAGGATTTGGCGAATTGTTCCCAGTCCTCCTTTAAAAGGGGGAGTATGGTGGTATAGAGACATGAGGTTCATTTCGAAGCAATAAGACGTGAAAAATGAGTAATGCCTTCCCTCGGACTCTAACCACGGACATCTCGAATACGCGCTGAGTGTGCTGACCATTACATCGCAAAGGCAAGCTAAAAGGCGGGAGAAAAACCTTATATACTCCCCCTTTTAAAGGAGGACTGGGAACAATTCGTCAAATCCTGGTGGTGGAGAAACATTATCCACCACCTGTTTTTTAGTGCGGGTGCCACTGTAAAAACATTAGGTATTTTTTAAATGCAGGGGAGATGAAAAATGAGCGATGCCCTCGTCGGGACTCGAACCACGGACCTTTCGAATTCGCACCGAGTATGCTGACTATTACACCATGGAGGCATGCTAAGAAGGAGGGTGAAATACCTTATATACTCCTCCTTTTGTAGGGCGATTGGGGATTAGGAGACCCAATCGCCAAATCCTGGGGGTGGAGAATCATCATCCATCACCTGTTTTTTTAGTTCAGGCGCCACTATAGAGACATGAGGTATTTTCTGAATGCAGGAGAGATGAAAAATGAGCAATGTTGTCGGCGGGACTCGAACCACGGACCTCTCGAATACGCACACTCGGTGCGTATTCGAGAAGTCCGTGGTCCATTAGACTACGAAGGCGTGCTAAGAAAGCGGGAGAAATACCTTATAGATTATGTTAGTATCGTTTGAATTTATTTGACTGTTATTGCTAACTAATTTAGCCCGGACTGGTGGTTTTTACCTGCAGCACAAATGTCGCTTTTTATTTAAAAGTTCACATTAAATAAAACGATTATTTAAAATATTCGCAATCATACTATTTCAGATGTAGTGATAGCTCGCTGATTTGTCTACTGGGATTGTAAGACTTAAACTTGATCTTCAAGATCAATTGCAACTTTACAACCTAGCAAGAATAAAATGAATTATATTCCTGATCTGTTTAGATGTGGTCATTGTTCGATTTACATATAGAGCATTGTTCAAGTGATACAGAAAGGTTACTTTTAAATGCACAGTAGTATGAATGTACCAATAGTACAAAACGTGTAGATCAAGAGAAAAGTCCAGAAAACCTTTCCAGCATCCAAAAATTACAGCAAAAGATATAAAATTAAAAACATCATTGAAGGCTGAAAACAATACATTTTAATATCATTTTCTGTTTAAATTTCTGATATGAGAAGAGCTTAATTCAGGCATTAGAGCTAACTAAAAAGGCGATATACTATCTACTAATCTTGGATTTCAAATGACAGGTGCACTAACTAACTGCCTTGCATATTAAAGGAAATTTTTAATATTGTTGCTTGCGTGCTGGTTCGTAATGACTGAATGCACATACATAAGATAGTTGATAAAATTTATTTTACACTTCAGAGATCTGAAACGTCCCACAAGGATATTCCTACAACTCATCACAATATCATAGTGTGCAATCAGTAGTTACAATTCAATTTACTATGAAAGTTAAACACAACGCAATGGAAAGCACAGCTAAAGACAAAGCTACCCGGACATATCTCAGTACTCTGAACTCAAGCTGAGCTAACAGCTAACAACAACAACAGAGCAGTTGCTCTCCCCGGTCTTTATATAGTTTTCACCCGGTCTCCGAGATATATCTAGTACATTCTGTTCTGCTTCTTAAAATTACCAGAAGGCAATATGAGGGTCGAATTACGGTTACTAATATAGTGATGAATTACATTTATTCAATTACAATGTCTATTACGGTCATACAGGATCTGGACCAAAATGTCGCCAAAGTGATCGCTAAGTTTGGCGAATTTTGACGATTTTTTGCCAAATAACCGAGCTACCCATTTACTCAATGTTAAATGGACTTGCCTCTGTATTCTTACTTTTCTGACACAGCTTTTCTCTCTAGATTTTTCATGTTACATTACGCAGAAAAATACAACAGTTTCACATATAACTGCACTAAAATTATCTATGTATGTACAAAATTCGTAAGAACATAAACATTGTAGATTCATTAGGTTTTCTTGGAATCAGTAGACATGAAAAATGCACAATACCCTTGCCGGGAGTTGAACCCTGGATCTCTCGAATACGCGACGAGTATGCTTCCGATTACACTTCGAAGGCGTGCGGAAAGGAGGGAGAAAACATCTCACAACACAAAATGTTTTTATTCAAACAATTATTTTTATAACATTTATTATATTGATTTTTTAAAGAAATATTATAAGGAATTTTCTCCCTTCTTTCCGCATGCCTTCATGGTGTAACTGGAAGCATACTCGACAGGTCTTGAGCCCGAGTCCCGGCGAGGGCACTGCACCTTTTTCACGTCTCCTGCTTCAAAATAACCTAATGACTCGACAAGTAGTCCCCGGGTTAAAAGGTGGTGAACGATAATTCGTCAAAATTAAGATTTTGTGATTGGGTCCCCTAATCCCCAGTCGCTCTTTAAAGGGAGAGTACATAAGGTATTTTCTCCCTTCTTTCCGCATGCCTTCATGGTATATTTGGAAGCACACTCGACATTTATTCGAGAGGTTAAGGTTTCGAGTCCTGGCGAGGGTATTGCATTTTTTTCTTGTCTACTGCTTCAAAATGACCTAATGAATCTACAGTTTAATTAAGAGTTACTTCTGAAAAAAATTCCTGTGCTCTTTAAACTAAAAATAGAATGTACTTTCTAAAACTGATAATTATGTCGAAAGTAAAGTTCTCAAGACGTTCAGATTTAATACCTCACTCTTCACATACATGGACCGAATTCATTGGAATTGAGGATGAATTTAATTATAGTAAAAAATAATGTACTGTATCCTTGCCCCTTGTCGAATACGAGATCTTGGATGTCTGACACTGATATTTTAATTCAGAAGTCAAACAACCAAAATCAGCTTTATATTTTCAAATTTTCACAACCCCAATTCAACTTTGCCTTCGGCCTTTAAAGAAATTATATTTTAGTTCTGGTTTCCTCAATAGATGGCGCCACTTGGTTATTATTGTCCAGGCTTTCTTATCTTATCTAATCATTGTATCCTATCTCGTTCGTTTGCGGTTTTGCAGCTGAGGATGGTGGTTCGGTAAAACCATCGAAACTAGTCCTGTGAAAATTTTGAAAATATAACGCTGATTTTTGTTGTTTGACTTCTGAATTAATATTTGTTCGGCGTGATATTTTAACTCTTGAACTACACGATCACAGGAGAGGCATGTCTTAAATGTTTACAAAATAATTTAATAAATAATTGTCTTAATAATAAAAAATTGTCTTAAATGTTAACAAAATATTCAAGTTTTGGAGCATATTAAACTAATATCTAATGTCTAATATCTATGAGCGTAAACAAACAAATTTAATTCAAAGTTAATGGTGACCATTTGTATTTTACAATATTTAATTATATTCTGTCTCTTCATTCATTTTAATTTACTTAAAGAAATTTATAACTATTAATGTATCAAAAGTTATACAATTAAGACTACTTTAATTTTTATGAAATTCTTAAAAACGTCTACATTTATGTAAATTTTGTTTCAGATTGACCAAAGTGTACCGAAAAGTCGGTTTCCTGTATGGCATCTTCTACAAACTAGGTCGTGTTCCTTGGATTTGTAAACGAGAAAATTATCTTACTGTGGAGAAAAGACTTACGGGAAAGGATACTGAGGTTTATATTTTCTACTTTTCTGTAACCAAAATAAATATTATGATAGTAAATATGAAGTGCAATGCAAAAAGTACAATCTTTGCAATATGAAACAATGTGAGGGATTTAGGCATCCTTCTTTGAAAGATGTAATGAAAGTAGCTTTTCCTTAAAACCCTTTTATTTGTATTACACCCATTCCTTTTGCTAAATTTTATCCTTTTTGGACCGAGTTATATGTATAGTTGTAATTCCCTTCTCTCAAATGTAATACGATCTATTCCCTTCCGTGCCCCCTGGGCAACGTTCTAACTGGTGAGGTAGCTAAATGACCAATTAGTTTGGCTATTCTTGACCAATGCTCAAAAAGTAAGTGTCTAGGCACTAAAGAAACTTTGATCTTGTTGTAAATGGTTACATAAAAAAATATTACTTTTTAGAATGGATACGTGACACTGTTTAATTCGTGGAAAAATACTAGACTAAGTGAACAATTTTACGAAATAAACTCTGCATTGTAAATCTATTTAAATATAGAGAAATATTAAAGTAGTATCTCACTGCCCGTATTCCCAATAAAAATTCATAACTGACTAAACTGTGCTATTACCTTGATCTTAAAATAAGACATTGTTCGAATAAGTATGCTATATACCATATCACTCTCTTCAGATTCAGATGTAAAATCTACAGCTTAGAATAATATAGAAATGCAACTTACAGGAATGTAAAAGATAGAGACTAAGAATCATTTAGAAATATAGAGTAGGAAATGGGGAAACTTTCATCACCTGCGCATACCTCGGGCCAAAAATTTCGAATCTATCATTTCCGGAGACAGTATTGTTTGTTTTTGTAATTTAAAATTTATTTTTCATGATTTAATTCTAATTCAATTTTCAAAATTTCGAATCTGTCATTCCCTGAAATAGTATTGTTTATTTTTGTAACTTTATTTTACATGATTTAATTCTGATTTAGTTTCTGAAAAGTGAAATAAATTTAAACACTGAAGAGCTGATTTGTACCTTAAAATGTAATAGTCATATGGGAAATGATAAATTACAAGCTGAAAAAGGACTTGAGTTTCTATTAGCACTGCAGGAAATGGATAGTTAATCGAAGTCATGAGGTCTGGTTTCTTTTCTATGTTACGAGACTATTCATTTTTAATTTTTGTTTAGTGAACTATCACTTTCTCAACAAGCTTTAAACAAACGCTTTCTTACTTTAATAAAACTTTGAATGGAAATAAAACCAATATAAAATTTATCTTCCTGTAACGTAGTGAAAAATCTAAAGCTTTGTAAAAACAAACAGACGCAAACTTCTAAACTAGTAACAAACATGCTAATGTAATTTATATAAGCATATACACCGATTAGCAAAGAACCTAAAGGAAAATGCCTGATTTACCATTTATGTCTAGAAATCCTATGACTAACGTAAATAAAGTATAAACTTATGCCAGTGCTTTTATATTAGAAACATTTGTAATGAACCAGTCACATGCCTAAATGGGTTGCACTAGCTCTAGAGTTCATTTCACGATACTGTTGTCTAAATTTATTATCTAAGCAAGCTCTAAATCAATAAGCATAACCTCGCGACATTTTAGCAGAGGCGTAGCTAAGGTTTTCAGCGCCCGGGGACAATTGAAGATTTTGCGCCCCTTTCTGTGTGCCAAGAATAGAAAACCCTTCATTCTAACATTTCGTAACATCAATTTGGCGCCCCCTGGATGCTGCGCCCGGGGACAGATATCTCTCCTTGCCCCACCCTAGCTACGCCACTGCTTTTTAGCTGTCACTATTTATTCTTTTATGAAACTCTGTGACGAGTAAGAAGCGGAAAGCTTACAGGGAAAAAATATAGAAAAACCTTTTAAACTTTAACTAAGTTTGTTTTGGAATAACATTTTATAAATGTATTATTATGTGATTCAAATCATTCGTATTATATTTATTTTTTTCTAGACTAACTGTGTCTCTATAAAGTCGGTTTTAGCTAGTGGAGGGTCAGTTATTGGTTAGAAACCTGCTATGTATATCAGGTCCAGCAATGCATTTAAAAATTATATAACCCATGATTTTAATTAATCGGTGGGAATTTAGTACTTGCAGTAATAGTTTGTAAGATTGAATAACTTTAAACTGAAACTTAACTACTTATTGACCTGTTACTGCAATGAGTATAAATTAAATTACACTTTTATTCAATTTTATGCCAATGCTAAATTCTATTTTCTTTAACATTTCCAGATATTTTTCTTAAACTTAGATGATTTGAACTGGATAGAATATATAGATAACTGTCTCAAACAAGGTCGAAAATTCATAGCCCACGAAGATCCTTCTAACATCCCCTACGCTAAGAAGAAGGCGAAAGTGTAAGTATCTACGTTAACTCTCTAATGCCAAGCCTTCTAAATAAATTATAACTATTGCGCTTTTATCAAATATATATATATATATATATATATACGATTTGCCAGACAAATTTTGTTCCTTGAAGAAGAGTAATTTGTTTCTCTTTCCTTCGAAATAATGTCTAATTTTCCCCCAAAACCAACATTAAAGAAAGGTAGAAATTGGAGTAAATTTTAAATTTTCTGCTTCCCTTTCATCCAAAATCATGAAATAAAAGAAGCCTAGATAATGTTGACATGATATACGAGGGCCATCCAGGAAGTAGATTATGTTTCCGTCTGTGTCCGCTAGGGGCGGGCTAGCGCGGGCCATCTTGGGGTCAGAGCGTGCGCAGCTCATCTGCATCTAGCCGTGCTAGTGAGAGGTTCGTGCTGTGCTCCGTTCAGATACTGTGACGGTTTGAAATGGTCTGCGTTAATTGAAATCCCGCGAGCTGCGAGGTGCGCTCAGTAATAAGGTTTCTGACTGCAAAAAACTGTAAACCGATAGAAATCTATCGGCAGCTTCGTGAAGTGTATGGGGACAACATTCACTGAAGGTGGAGTGCGTCAGTGGGTCATAAGATTTCAAAATGGCCGAACCAATGTTCACGACGAAGATCGAAGTGGGAGACCCAGCATAGTGACCGCAGAAACTTCTCGAAAAAGTCGATGCTAAAGTCCGTGAAAATCGAAATTTCACAATAACGGAACTTTCTTTGAGTTTTCCACAAATTTCGCGAAGTTTGTTGCACGAAATCATCAGCGAAAAGCTTGGTTACCACAAGGTTTGTGCAAGATGGAAGGCAAGAAGAGGTACGAAGTGGTTGAAGGCGCAGGCGGGGGCCGAATTTTTCGACGAAGGAATTTCCAAGCTCGTACATCGCTACGATAAATGCCTTAATTTGGTATGGTGACTATGTAGAAAAGTAGTATTTGAGTGTGGCTTTCATCTGTATAATAAAATTTGTTTCCTATACTTTGTTTATTTTTTTATTCCAAAACGTAATCTACTTTCTGGATAGCCCTCGTAGAATTCAATAGAAAATTAAAGTGAAAAAGCAACTATGTGACTAACAGAAGATGCTCAGAGTGATACCCATTCATCTCTAGGCATTCTGGGCATTGATTAGCAGATTATTTTGAAGGCCCATTTTAATTCACTAGGTGAGATGACCTTAGTCTCAGAACTAATGTTTTATTGTTACTCCTGAATGATATCAGGTTTAGTTGCGAGACGCTTTTGACACCAGTATTCATCGCAAATGATGACAAATACTGAGAAGTTGAGAGGTACGGGTGATCAGCATAAAAATGTTAATTTCTAATTCTAATTTTTTCATTATGATTTTTAAGAAATTTTATGATAAGAAAAGTATTTATTGCATATCTGAGCACTTGTTTTTTAACACTTAAATATGTTGTAACAAACTTGCATATCACAGTTATAACTATGCGCTTTGTTCTCTTTCAGATGGTGGTTAGTAACTACTACTTTGAAGTGGTGCCTTATACTATACTTCTTTTATTATTTGTTCTGTCAATTCTTCTTGAACAACTCATACGTGAAAGAACGAATGTATACAATTTCCCCATGATACATCAATATTAGCAAAATGGTGCTTAACACAAAACGCATTAACTTAGTATCCTCGCTCTATTTAAGAACTTTTGATACTTAAAACATTTTGACTGAAAGCTTTAGATTCTATTATTTTTAATTAATTAACAATATTTATGCAATTTTCAGTGAAGATTCTACATTACTTATTAAAAAACTGCAGATCGTTTTATGAAAACGTACGTAACGACATAAATGAAGCTGGTTTCAATTAAAGAACATAATCATGTAACCGCGAGTATTTCTTTCTGAGGAAGAATTTTAAGCGAATAAAAATAAAATTTTGTTATGTAATGACTAAATTTTGAAATATATGCTATTTTTGCTTGAATAGTCTGTTTTATTTAAAATTAGTTGATATTTACACACAAAAACAGCAAAAAATTCCAGCATTTCAAGTTAACTTAGATAGCGGAAAGTATCGTACTTGTAAAGAGGAACATATCAAATATATTTTAAGAAAAAAGGTACAGTTGTTTCTAATATTGAAACTTTATGAAATGTATATGCAGTATGACACGGCTTCTCGGCTTATATAATTTTTGACATTTCTGTGAGAGAGTGAAGATTATGAGAACATTCATACTATGAGCTATGATAAAAGATACCGTGAATGTTTAAATGAAAAAAGATATTGCAATGACAGTCTCATTGGCATGATCTCGTTCATTTCAAAAATACTTATTCCATCATTCTTAACATTTGTTAAGCAGTTCTGGAAGTCTCTTCTCATGAGTGTTTTTAGTCGCCTCAATGTCCTGAATTTATTCAAAACGTTTCCCTTCCACAGTTATTTTAATTTTGGGGAAGATTCATATGTCGCAGGATGGTAAATCCATTAAATGAGGTAGATGACGACACACTGTAATGTTTTCACTTGATAAAAATTGCCGTTTCAGAAGCGATGTGTGGCAAAGGGAATTATCACAACAGAGGATTAAATTGTTTACCCATTTTAGGTTGTTTTTAAGTACAATATACGTACAATGTATTTTACTTACATTTTAAAAGTCCTTATAAAATTCAAAGTTCAAAGAAGTTTTCTTGGATACAAATTCAGTTAGCTCAGTTCCAGTAACATCAAAAAACACCACTGACATAAAAAATCAGATGTTGGATTTGATTGTCTTATTTTATTCGCCTAAGCACTTGCTTAAAACATCATTGGTTGCTTGAAACTAGTAAGTCATTTTCGTCAGCATCACCATAAGCTGTTTTTTAATATTTCAAGTGTTGTTTTAGTACTTCTTTTGTATTCTGAAACAAAGTTTCATGTTAATAAATTTCTATTGATCCTTGTTAATAAACCATCACAAAGTCATGGATCAGTCAGTGATGCATGACTTACATTTAAAAACACGTTCTCTTAGTCGCTGCTCATAATTGATTGCTCAGAACGAAATGAAACGTTCCATAATTTTTACTAAGTGAGCTTCAGAGATTGAAGATCTCTTTCTGCTTCACCGTGCTTTTGTTTATTTTTTTAATCACACCTTGTTGATGTCTAAGTTCATTTAGAGGAACTGCAACCGTGCGCAAAGTGTGACAAAATAAATACGGTGAATGCTGATTACAGACTGCTATCATTTAGAAAGGCGGAGAATTATGACGGATTTCTGACGCATGCATAAATTAGAGTTCTGGCGCTTGTGGTTGCAAGAGAGTTAAAGTTTCTTTTTCCGTTTGCCCATATGCTTTTATTTCGGGGAATTAAAAATTTCCTGACATTCCCTAAAATTATCTGAAATGTACTTTGTAATATGTTCAAATAATTTAAAAGTAGCCATCTGGCCAGATGAAGCCAAAAATACTCCATTTCTCCGGTTCCTCAAATAATTAATATGAAAATAGTAAATTTTTAAATAGAGTTTAGGAATGAATGTACTTTAAACTCCGTCATGATTTCTCAATCATATTCATGTTTTTAGCGTAGTTTAAGTATTGTGACTAGAAAATGATCATGGAACTAAATATTCTGAAAGAGATATAGCACCAGTATATCTAGAAATTTCTCTTTGTATTGAATATAGTTATTACCAAACTGTAGTATTTTTTACTAGTTGCTGTAGTAGTTAGTAGTTATTACATAACTGTATAGTTATCAGTTTAAACTTGTTTTTTTTACTTGCATCGGTTACAGACTTGCATTCTAAATTCAAATTTTTGCATCTGATTCGAAATACTTCGTGAGTACTTATTTTATATGAAGTTTTAAAAACGAAAGTGCACTCTAAAATATCATTTTAAACTTTTTAGCGCCTCGTTTAGCAGCTCGAATTAACGATTTAATTTGACACTTAATTCACCGTTTGCTATGAATAAAGCGACTGTGTCCATTTATTCTGGAATTAAATATCGGAAATAATGTTAGGTCGGATAAAGAAAAAAAGTGCTGATAGTCGTAAAGCCTATAGACATGGAAGCAGGAAGTATATCTACTTAGCTATTCCTGCCTACATGCCCGTAAATAAGCGAAAAGGAATTTTACTGATATAGCATGGATATAGGGTGACAAATGATAAACCGAACTCAAAGTAAGTGAAGTCTACCATGTCTGATTTGGTTTATCTTGAGCCACTTAGACTAATGGAAAATAAAATCTCAGCGCCAAGAAGAAACCATCTTAGAGGAATGAAATGTAGGCAAAGCATTTGTCTAGGTAGCATATTTATTTGATTAATGTTTCATAGATACCTAACGTATACACGAGAAGAGCCATTTCAAATGGGACATGCTGGTACATTAGTAACAGACCTAGTCGCCACGAGGTTGAATGCCAGCATGCATTGTATAGTACAGGTACAGCATGTCATTTTGTGGCTTGCCTGTTGTCATTTTGTTCCCTGATTGTTGCACTCGACCAGTCAAATCAGCTACAGTCCGTACTGTTTGTGGATGACGCTGGATTTGTCATCCAAACATATCTCATACGTGCTCGAAGGGAGGAAGATCGACTGATCTCGCACAGAAAGCAACATATCGATACTCTGTAGAGCACGTTGAGTGATAGCAGCGGTATGTTTCAAAATATTCTAAAATTACTATAAATCGACATCAATCACTTTTAAAATGTAACTTTTAATATGTACAATATTTACATAACATTAATTACAGCATTCGATGGTTCGGTGATCAAACAAGTCTATACGCTTTCACAATCGAAAATCGAAATCTTTTAAATAGGAACCGAAGTGTTCCTAAAGTGTGCGAAGCATCTAAACATCCATCTATCTAGCTGCCGGTGGAGCGTATATGGAAATTCAGAAGGCACGTCGTGCCATCTATCGATTAATCAAAATAATTTCCACACGGTATGGCGACGAACTTTATTCTGTTGGAAGATGCCTCCTGGAATATTGCTTAAGAATGGCCGCAGTCACCAGTCTGAAGTAAAAATTTGCGTTCAAGGTGTGTGGTATAACGAGAGTAGTAGTGTAGGTCTACTCCTGGTGTTTGTCGACTACGTCTATGTTGCAGACATCTGGGTTCCAAAGCGCTCATCTCACATCCTTCTAGCATACGGCCATCACTTATACTAAGGCAGAAAGGGCTTTCTGAGATTACAACAGATCTCCACTCACCCTTTGAGCTCTACTTTGACACCAACTAAATCGTACATGACGGTGATTTAGAGTTAGTGGTATGGCTGCCATAGGGCGTATGGATAGGATTTGTCCCTCAAGTAATTGATTTGTTACAGTTCGCTGCACTCTGGTTCCAATAAAAAATCGAATGTTTGTTTCAAATGCAGTACCATGCACTACAAACATGCTGCGAAATACGGCGGTCTTCTCTTTGAGTGGTACCTGGCCTTCTTAAGAAGACCACTGATGACAGCACTCATGTATAGTAGATACATTCTTGTCAAGTCTTTCAGCACTATCTCGAAAAAGAAAATCCACCTTCTCGTAACTCTCGTAACATGGGCTATTACATTGCTATTTAAAGCAAATTTGATTTGAATTTTCATAGTGGCGCTCCTAACCCCAAGCTACTATTCGCATAGCGCGAAATTTGAATAGATGTCACCTTTCAGATGTACAAACAAGACTCCCAAATTTCATTTATATAGCACAAATACTTCTTTGTGTTTTTGATTTCATTTTCCATGAGTGCATAATATCGCTTTATAGTTCATGTGTTATTCGTTTGTTTTGGGTTCGGTTTATCATGGTCCGTCCTATTGAAGAAGGGGGAAATTCTGAAAAATTGATGTGAACTAAATGCATTTTGTTTTTAAAAAGTTGATTTAAAGGCAGTCAAAGTAAAATCCTTTCTCAAGATACATATTAAGAATTTAAGTTAAAAAGAAAGCATTGTTTAAAAAACAAGTGTTTTTTAGTTGCAGAAAGAGAATAAAATATTTTAATTATCCCCCACCAATAAATTAGTTGTCTATTTTTCGGGTGTCATCAAATATAAAGTCGAATTTTTGAACTCTTACATTACTTCCGGAGTCTAGATAACCAGTAAAAATTCTCGAGAAAATTTCGAGAAATCTGAAAAAAACTTGCATAATCCTCGAAATCTAACAGCAATTCTGAACGTCAGTGAGTTAGTAAACTTTCATTTGGCTACAAATTCGTTAGAGTGTGAATAATAAGTTAGATTAGGTTATTTAAATATGGCAAAGCCTATCTACCTGAGATATCTGCTAAAAAGAGGGATGCCTTCCTGGAAGACTTTTTGAGGAAAATTGGCTGTTATTCACGCTACACATGAAGAAAACCACGAACACTAACCATGCAGCGACCCCTTTTGCCAAGTATAGAACACAAACCAGGTCGAACTATCAGTATTCAGCAGTCTTAATCACATTGCCAGTGAAAATTCTAAGGCTCGACGGATTCAAAAATAATGTCCAGTATACAGAAACAACAAAAACGAAGGAGTAAATCTATGTCTCCAATTCTGATATAGATCTCAAGTTAGCTTTCTTCCTAGTTTAGCTTACTGCCACATAAAGAAAAAGACATTTAAAACAGAACACCAAGAAGGAGTGGTCAGAAAGTGATGAAACTCGGCAAACAGAGAGAGACTGCAGCGAACAGTAAGTGATCTTCATTTCGAAATGATATGCATAATACAGAGCAAGAACAGCGTCGTCTTAGTAGATTGTAGGACCACCTTGGACGGCAATACACGAAGCAACACGTCTAGGTACAGAGACTACGGTTGGTGTCCTGAGGATAGGCTCTCCATTACCTGTCAACCATTTGCCATAGTTCGTCTTCTAAACGCAGCAATGGCAAGGTCTGCAAATAGCGTCCAATAACATCTCAAATATGTTCGATTCGTGAAAGATCAGGAGATAACGGTGGCCAGGGAAGC